TTCATATCGCACCATCAACGAATCGCCTATATCTCGAAACGATGAAAGTTTCATCCAACAAATCCGTACACTACATGAACCTGACATACCATGGCATTTGCATACTTTTTGCATACTAGAGCGAATAATCTAGATAATAAAATAATTTCTTAATAATTCATTATTATAATATATTAAYTTTGAGAGACAATATAGCTCTTTTTTAAATAAAATAATAATAATGCAGTTTTATTTGTTTTCGCTTATGTCAGGGTTTATGACGTATTTAAGCTTACATATTATTTATTAATTACTTTTAGACTTCAAATAACAAACCCATAATTTATATATTCATAAAAAATTAATATTGGTGTATAATATAATTTTGAAATTTAAAACATTTCATTACCTACATATTCGCTTGTGACATGAGTATAAAACGTGCGTAAAAATTTATAAAAATAACAACAACAGTTGTTAATGTTATCCTTATTGTTATAAGTTAATAATTTTATGTTGAAAACGGAATTTCTAATTTGAATTTAAAAAATATGTATCAATTTATAATTTAATCATAAAATTATCCTAGTAAATAATTTAGCACCCAAAACGTTTTCATTTAAAATTATTCATAATATGATCTCGCATCGCTGTAGTGTAAAAATAGTCTTCTAAAACTATGTTATAATATCTTAATATCGTATAATTTATGTTATTTTTTCTTTCTAGAACTACCTAGTGTTCATTATTTTCTTTTACAATCTGTGTATTTGCACAATCAGTAAATGTGATGGCATATATTTATATAACTAACAAATRACACGTACTTAGTAAAAGTCGCATTAAATGTACCTAATGAGAAGTCACACGCAACAATGCAGCAACATCCCCGAACTTGATGTTATGAAAATATTCAGGTACTTACCTATTAATTATTATTCGCATATGTACGTAAAATGATATTATGTTAAAKTCAATATTAAACTATATTACTATTAATAATAACAAATACTAATAATAATAATCTTATCTAGTTACATATAGCTATATGTATATGCATATATATGTATTTATCTACCTATATTAGATATTTGTATATTATTATTTATTACATATAWAGGTATTATACTGCACTATATAATATTGAAATAAGTATTTTTTACAACGCAATAACATAACAAGTGTACACTTCATTGTAAAAATTAAAAACTTAAATATATCCTAAAGAAAAAATATGTCAAATTATAAGACAAAAACATATCATAGGTTCATACCCTTCGGCCAGCTTCGTTATTGTGTACGTTCATTAGCCCTTGAACACTATCGATATCTTCTATAGAATCGACAAAATCACGACTAAACTTTTCACCGAAACGTATATCCTGAAAAAAATTACATCGTAAAAGTTTAATTTTTAATTAGTGTGTTGTTAATATAAGACTCATATATATATATAACATATAGTAACCTCCGAACATCCTCCCCATTGCCAATTCTTTTTAACTTGTTTTCTTTGAATTTTGTTGTCACAACTACATTCGTTCAGTTCACCTCTTGAGCATGCTTTTGTGATTGCATATGCTACTCCAGCCGATGTGATAGCATTCACGTATGCCTTTTCTCTACTTTCTAAATATATATTATATTAAATATTAGCAYTGTATACTAAAAATGTGTTTATCAAAATAATTGCATTTAAAGTTTAAACATAGGTAAATTATAGATTCAGCTGAACTTACTATATGATAATACGTTTCCAAACACGGACGTGTTATTTGAATACGTGCTACAATTCCACCTTTGAGAGCTAAACTGATATTGGCATTCCTCAATAGCCATTTTTGTCCCACTACTCACAACCTACAGCCAAAATATAATATAAAATTACTATATTTCAAATTCTATTTTCTAGAGCACAACACTTACTTACACTCATAATTTTTTCTCCGAGGTCACAAAGTTGTTGTTGTCTACTTTTCAAAAATGAATATCGGTAACAATTTTCTTTGTGACTAAGCAATGGGTTAAATTCTCTTGGTGGGTAATTTTGTAGTCCCAAGTACCTAGAACAATTTAAATTATCTTTGAAAACACACAATGAATATTATGCGGATATATTATATCTAAATAAGGCTAAAAGCTATATTTTCAGTTATATAGCTATAATTTATTTTAGATAT